ACGAGGAGCTCGCGGCAGGGCGTGCGCCGAGGCGGCCGTAGCCACCGGCCGACCTTGTGCAAGGGGACTCCCGGTGCCCCGGAAGCCACGGGGAAGTGACCGCCCAGAAACGGGAAGCTTCTCCGCCAGGCGTGGGAGCGGGATTGTGTAAAACCACTCAGCGGATGTTTATGAAGAATTTTTTAAAAAACATTTTATTTTTAATATTTTTTTATTGCTGTCAGAGAGGAAGGGAGAGGGGAGAGAAACATCACTGATGAGAGAGAATCATTGATCGGCTGCCCCCTATTGGGGATCAAGCCCGCAGCCTGGGCATGTGCCCTTGACTGCAGTCGACCCGGGACCCTTCAGTCCGCAGGCCCATGCTCTATCACTGAGCCAAAGCAGCCAGGGCTGTTTATGGAGAATTTACTGTGGCAAACGACTTGCTTGTCTAAGACATTTAAAAGTCCAATTAAAAAATTCAAAGCTTAATTTCCCAGAAACGTTTTGTTACCAATTTTGTAATACTAATGATTCCTTAAGGCTTTTCTCAAGTATTATACTCACAAGAACCCTTTTATTATGTTTTTTATATATACTCTGTAGTTTTGAAATAAGTGCATCAAACTTAAATTGTATAGTAATAAATAAATAAAAAAACAAAAGAAATAGTTTGGACATAAATAAACCTGCCCCGATAACCTCTGCAGGAACAGAAGTTGATTCTAACTCACCTCTCTCCTTGGTCCAGGGCCCTATGCTGGTCAGGTAGGTGGTTGCCACTCCCACCAGGTCTTTCTGTTGGGCCTTAAACCCCCTCACATTTTCTGTCTGTTATCAATCTGGCTTGGACTGCGTTTTAAAACTGTGCTCCAAAATGCAGCCTGGCCCACACCCCTAAGTTTCCCTGAAGTTGAAATTTCCTCTCCCTTTCTCATCAGGAGACTAGTTTTAAAAGGCTGAAAGGATCGCACGCCTAGAATAGGGAGGTAAGGGGCAGCGCTCAGAGAGTTGTGGAATGGAGTTTCTCCCTTGCTAGTGCGAGTGCTGTTCTTGGGGCGCCGCTGGCATAAGAATTTCCGGAGGCCCCCAGAGGAAGATGAGATGTGGTAGAAATCTTTATTTGAGTGGGATTACATTCCTCCATTTGCAAAGTCCCATTTCCCTTAAACTAGTCCTGGGAAGGGTGAAGCTGGGGGTCAGCAGAGCTAAAAGCAAAGCCAGTGTCCAGTGTTCGTTCCCTGGAGGAGCTGAGCGGGCAGGGCAGCAGGCTAGTTGTCGTCCATTAGTCCATGGCATGTGGGGTCCACATGGCGGTGGGCCCAGGGTGAGTGCAGAGCACGAGAGCCCCAACGCCAGGAGTCGGGCAGGAGCAGCAAGAGAGAGAAGGGCAGGAGTGACGCTCTGTTTAGGAGCTTAAATACCAAATCTTCCTGTGCTTGCAGTGACCATGCCTGTACACCGACTCTGGCCAGTGCCCTGTTCCCAGGTGTGACCGACAGGCAGCCTCCCCCTGTCTCCTGGACTTCACTGGGCGTGCTTCTCTTCCGTTTTGTCCAGTCCCTTCCCCCAGGATCCGGGGAACAGGTTTGGAGAGTGCTAAACTGCAGCTTTCGGGCACCAATGGCTTGCCTGTACTGTCTGGCCTCCCCTTTGCTCCTTTCCTGTTAGTTAATTAATAGCTGGGTAAGTACAATGGTATCACTAGGACCCCCTACTGTGTTTCAGCAAAACAAAATGCTTGTAGTTCCCAGAACAAGCCTTGCAGTTCCATGCTATGTTTTACAAATTCCTTCTCTACTTCATGAAATCCTGCTCCTGGCTCCTGTCCTGGCAAATACCGACTTAATCTTCAAGTTTTGTGGGTTTTTCCCCCCAAATTTTCTTTATTTATTGATTTTTAGAGAGCGAGAGATAGAGAAAGAGAGAGAGAGAGACATTGATTTGTTGTTCCACTTACCCTGCATTCACTGGTTGATTCTTGCATATGCCCTGACCTGGGATCAAACCCACATGCTTGATGATGTGGACAATGCTCTAATCAACTGAGCTACCCGGCCAGGGCAGTCTTCTAGTTTTAACTCAAAAGTTGTTTTTTCTGTGAGACCTTCCCTGGTTCCTAAAGGCAAGCTTCGATGCACCTCCTATTTCCATGTTGCTCATGTAGGTCATGCTCACACATTAAAGTTGTATTGCTTTCCAGTACAGTCTTTAGCCTTTTGATAATGCTGAGTTTCCTGAGGGTTGGGATTTGGTCTTTGCTGTTTTCATGACTCTACCTCAGCTAGCAGAGCGTCAGGTGTGCCTAAAACTTATAAAATGCTCTTTTGACTGTTTCAGAGTCAAGGACTCATGGTTGTTGACAGGCATGTTGCTCAGTGAAGACCAACAGGCGAATAGGAACAGGCCTACAGTTGTTGAGCCTAGGCCCACTCCAGTCCTTGGTTATTATTTTCACGACCAGCTTCAGACCTCAGCTGGTTCCCTCCTGACCCCAAGCTGTCACCACTGACTCAGACCGGCCGGCTTTCCTCACCAATACTAGCTGCCCAGTGCGCTCATCCCTTCAGTTCCCTCCCCTTCTGTCCCAGAAGCAAAGCTGGTCGCCTCACCCCACCACTCTTTATGCTGGGAGTGGGGGGATTGGGTAGGCAGGCATCATTATCTTTCTTTTAATTGTTTAATAATGGAAAAATATCAACTGTTTCTAAAAGTTGAGGGACTAGTATAATGAAGCTCTATGCACTTATAACTTAGATTCAGCACTGATCAATCATGGCTAACTTCATTTGTCGTGCACGCTGTCACTTCCACTTGACACTATTAGATATTATTTTGAAGGAAATCCCAGATATTGAGGGGAAGCAGAGTTTGCCATCCCAAAATATGCCTTTGGGGAATATTGATTATTTTAAGGTGGTTATTTTTTAAGATAAAAA